GCTCGGGGGGGGGGGCGCCGCGGCCGCTGCGGCTGGCTGCAATGCCAGGCATCCCGGCTGTGTACAAACGGCTTCGAGCCCTCCCGCTCTCCCTCCTTCCCCGGAGTTCACAGGAGCCCGTTTGCCAGGAGGATTATCCCGAAGGGAGGAACTTTCTGCTCCGAGGGTTGTTTAGACAAATGGCCGGAGCGTTAATAGGGATTTTTGATAAGTTATGTTCTGGAGTCTCCTAAGGGAAACTGGTTTCTGAGGCTGCTATCGGGCGGGCCTGTTTTTCCCTTAGCAATACCGTATTCCCGCAGATCACTCCAGCCGCTCCGTCTCTGCCCTGTGTGCTCCGTGCGGGCGGTTTCTCTCCCCCGAAACGCTGGGACGCGGACCAAGGCTGCGCGCCGTTCCCAAGGAAGGAGCGCTCCGTGTCCGCCGGGCGCGGGGCAGGGGGGAGGGGAAGGGTGCCAAGGGCACGGATGCGGATTTCCAAGCCCTCCGTGAAAACCACGGGGGAGCTGAGGGAGGTGATCCTGCCCAGACGAGCCGCAGCAGATGACCTGGCAGTAAATCAGGCTGGAAGCGGCGTGATCGGAGGGGAGCCAGGGAGGATTGCTGCCCGGGACCGTAGGGATTACTGCTGCGGCAGGTTGGGGAGAAGAGGAGAGTCCCTGGAGGAAGATGCGGACGGGTTGCCAGTCCTGCCTGTGAAGTGCTGTGGACCAGCAAATTAGAAGCCGGGGGGTGGCTTTTCTAGCAACTCAGGTGGGATATATTTGGGCAGGGACCAGCGTAGCATCAACTCTGCGAGCTGCCGTGTTGGGAGAGAGCCTCCTTGCCCCGCCACCGAGGATGGGCTCCATCGCGCCGGCGTGCGTGTTCATCTCTGCTGGCCATGAGGCTAAAAAATGCCGATTCACATGACCCAGGCACGGAGGCTTCCAAGCTGCCTCCGTCTCTCCCAGTAGCGGAGGAAGGAGAAGGCGGTGCTGAAAGGCTGCCGAGCCCCAAGGTGGGCAGAAATCCTGGCTGGCCACTTTCAAAGCGTTTGGACCCGGAATTACGGTGACTGAGCTGCCGGCCATGGAAGCCTCCACCTGGCAGTACCGCGGATATTTACGGGATGACACAAGTAAGGCGAGGGGGAGAGACTGCACAACGTCGCGGGGAGCCTCCTCGGGGCCGTGCGGGGATGATGCCCTGCCGCAGCTCGGCCAGGAGGGCCTGGGGCGCAGGCTGGGGAGGGGGGAC